GGATGTCCCGTGCGAGGCTGAGAGATGGACTGGAAGATCCTTGTGGGTCCCCTCCAACTCAGCATCATCTCTGATTCTGTGGTAACTGTAGTTGCCTTACCACCAGCTAATAGTTGTAGACACAGAGATAACGTGAAGGGAAGATGGCAGGTGAGACTGGCTACTACAGCGTTGGTCATCTTGCCGGTTGAGAGGTACTTAGTTCCTCAGAGGATGTGGTTTAATGTGATTACACTCCAAACTAGGGTGTTCAAAACAGAATCTAAACTCATGAGAGGCATCATGGAAGCAACAGATCTCTCTACCTACCCACACAGCTGGGATGGGCAGTGTAAGATTCTTACATAATGCTCTCAGATGATGCTGGACTTGGTTATGGTCACACTGTGTAAGGAAGAAGAGGGAACAAAAGCCCAGATAAACATCCACATGCAGTTACTCAACATCAGCTGCAAGAGCATTGTGTCAGCTCATGCATGAAAGTTTTCTTAAGGCTTCTGCTGTTAGCTCCTGCCTGAGGCAGGAAGATACTCCCRATAGAGGCAGCCACAAGTTTGTTTTCTTACAGCAGCATCTGTGTGTCATCCTATATCTTGTCTCCTTTCCTGGCCCCACTATCTGCCAGATAAACTATGCCTTTACACATTTTAATACTGGATAGGTGTGAACATATCAGAGTTTGATTTCTTACTCTTTTGCATGCACACTCTTTACCTCCCCTTGAGAGAGTGCTTCAAACCAACATGGAAACTGGTACTTAGAAACAAATAAGGCYCCCACCTCTCTTCTTCTCAGTGTAACTTTATTAAGAGATCTGAGCTCTGCTGAAAACAAGAAGTTCTTTCYAACTGTATATGCAAAACATTGGCATTGAAATAAGCCTTGGTATGAGAACAGCTGTTACCCAGTTTAGCACCCGCAACATTTTCACAAGGAAATGTTGACTGTATTTTCAGGTGGCTCTTTACAGAGCCCAGTGAGAATCAGAGCAAAGAAAATCTCCTACCCCTCCACAGCTTCTTGGTCAGGGCTGAAAGCCCTGTTTTCCTTAGGATGGCRTATTTAAGCATGAGTTTATCAGATGCTTTATCTGCTTCCTTGCTCTCCCCACCTGCATTTTACAGTTSTATCTGTGCCTGCTTGATTGTATCAGCATAAAGATACCAATGTCTCCAGGATGCAGCTTTACATGTGCTACCAGCATTGCTAACTTTGAGATCAGTGATACTCTGAAGTCACAAGGGTTGTTTTAGAATAAGATCACTGTCACACATCTTGGCTCTGCAAGGCCATAACCTGCACATCATATGTTGATAAGATAAAAAACCTCATGACACACACAACAGCAGCAGCCATAGATCTGGCAGAGCTGTACTTCATCTCAAATGCAGCCAGCAGGCTAGAAAGCACAGCATAGGCTGGCTTCTTCTCAGGTGAGCAAAATASTTGGGCAGATCTGAAACACCAAGGATCAAGCAGGTTGGAAACCTGGACAAGCAAGCACTTAAATTGCCAACAGTAGCACCAATGTGAACAATGCGTGTTTGAGTGTCTGCTTTTTTCTTAAAGAACACAGAACGTAAGATATATAATACAGCAGCATTAATCTTCCCWGTCAGAACTGGACATTTTAAGCAATTGTAAGCCAGTAACCTTTGAGGGTACTGTACTCATGACTGAAGGCAACTTCTATTTCTTCAACTCTTTCCTCCCCAAACCCGCACAATTGCCAGCAATGCTAAATTAAAAATTTTGGGGTCTAGCRGAAGTAGCAGAGCATGGTTTTCCAATTAATTTCTGCATCTCAGTTGCAAAGCTGACTTTTCAGCTGTAGCACAAGCACAGTCACAAGCACATTTAAAGGCTCTACCAGGGATTTCACTGCAAAATATGCTTCACTCCAGGCAATAGAAATCAATCTTCAGTGGGAGACTTTTCCATTTATATTAGGAATAGAAAGAATTTATATACACTGGCTTTTCCTGCTTTGTGGTCACTCACTGTAGCTTTTCGTGCCTTATGCTCATCTTCAGGCTTCTATTAACATGCTTTCTCCCTGCTATTGTAAAACTCTTGTAAGAATTGATACTTAAGAGCTCTGTCAAATTTTGTTGAAACTTGCTGCCAATTTAATAAGTTATCGGAGAACAAGAATATGTTCTGCCCTGTTTCTAAATTAAATCAGACCACTTCTTGCCTTATAACTGTATTGGCAAACAAGGTGTTCCATAGCTGTTTATAAAATGAATCTGTATTTTAGTAGCTTTCTCTTAACTCTGTATGAAAAAGTCATGTAAATCAGTCTTCTGCATTTCCCTCATCTTAATGCTTGCCACCCTTGTCAGAATTCCTTGCATARATTACTTTATACAATAGAGATGTGCACGTTGCATTTTGTGTGTTTTCAAAGACCCATAAGGAGTTAATTGTGTCAAGAGAAAACATGGTCMCTAAATATTTGCTTTTGGAGGCAAGACCACTTTGCATCTCCTTGAAAAACTTCCAAAGTCTTCARTCTTGGGTGAGTGTTGAAAGACAAGGGCCTCAGTACATAAAACTTTCAAATACTGTGAATAAATGAAAGGCTACTCCTTTCATTTGGTTTGCTTCTGCTGAATTTGAGGAGTGTTTTTAGTGTAAGGTTAAATASTTGAATATTTGTTTCTATGGCGAATTCTGAAATGCTGTTAAACATCAGCTGGAACCAGGTCCGCAGCAGGGTCCAGAGGAACTATCATGACCACAGGAAATCCAAGTTCACACACTCCATTCTCCATTTCATGCCAGAAATTATATTGCTATTGAAAGTGCAGTTGAAACAACAACTGTACAGTGCTATTGAAAAACAAAACTCCTAAATTAACCTGGCAACATATTTACTCCACWGATGAATACTGACACACCCAGTACTTACTGCAGCTGCAAGTGTTTATTGTAGCACATTTACAATGTGTAAGCATTGGGACAGAACATCTTTAGTGTCCTCTGCAGCATTATACATAGTCACACACAGCTACAGCAATGTTGCTCACAAATGCAAGTTCCCTAAAATATGCTTCCTTTTGGTTTTTTATTCTGCTCCCAGAGTGAATAGCCTATAGAATATAAGGCATCCATCAAATGGTATCTCTATCAACAAAGTATATAAACTATATYGTCAAAACTGATCTTTTATAAAATGTTTCAGCCAGCCACTGACTGTAGCAGGTTATTAGGAAGCATCCAGTTTCTAACGCTTGGGGAGATACGACTCTCAGAGCCATACCTCCTGAGTATTTAACTTAGTTTAAACTTCAGGTTTACAGACTTGAATACCAGAGGAATATCTCACATTTTAAAAAATAGATATTTCGAAAGTGCTTTTGTCTGATTTTTCCTTTAAAAACGTAAGATCCAAACACTGTTAAGCTGAACACTGTAACTGATCCTGCCCAGTGCTCGATACATGAGAACATTTCTCCACTCAACTCATCCCTCAAGCTTCAGTTCAGCCTGGCATATCCTGAGCTCTCTGAGAATAGACTGCCACTTACATGCAGTATGCMCTTACATACACTTACTTCAGTGTAAAGAAATATTTATTTTATGCTTTCAGATATATTTGAATGGCTTGTGTATCAACTCACTGTAATGACTCCAAAAACAAATTACACCAAATTTCACAGTATTTATTTTTACTGTGARTGCAAATAAACAAAAAATGCTGAAGGCTCTGGAGTGAGCTTTCATTCAGTAAAAGGTCAGCCACAGACAGATAATGCCTGCAGCCTGAGGGCTARGTTGGTGTTCAAAGCTGAAGTTGTCCAGCACTAGTTCTACTCATAGTTAAAAGTTTCTACATTTATATTCTACTCTTATAATCTAGCCAATTCTATGAACACAGACGGGTTTTTATGCCCTTTGCATTCTAGCACAATTTAACTGAGGAAACAAATAGAATAAAACTAATAAAAACCAACCCCCAAACCCCTTGAACTAGCATTGATTATCTAATCAAAAAGTCTGTAAGTTTAGCATAAACTTTTGCCACAGGCTTATACTGTTTTTCGAGAAAAGCAAATTAAGTCTTTARAGATAAGGTTTTCCACCAGTTCCATTGCCCAGTTCTTGCAATGTGTGCTGCTTTAAAGCCTCCATGATCCGCTCCCAAAATCCATTAAATACGTTCACTACAACCTGTACAAGACAGGAGGGGAAAGTGGTCAGATACAGGCATCAAAATAATAGTTCCACTGCACAAAGAGCCTTAAAAATGCAACTGTATTATTACTAATTTGACATTCATCAATAAGAAACTGCAATGAACTACCAGCAAACATTTTGAGCACAAGACTGCWCTTCTAGATGCTTGAACCCTACTGCACAGTCAGTGGGAAAATAATTACATCCCCACCCTGTCCTTATCCTGGTTTTCTTGTGTGGTTAAACTGAGAGGTGTGTGCAGAAAAGGAAATATTAACATGCCCTTTACCCAGGAGCAAGATGCCCTGCTCTGCTCCATCCCACACTTTTATCTCCA